AAATCCCAATTTGTGGCGCTGTGTGGATCCCCACCAGCATCATCAATCCAGATGAGACAGTGTGATCTGAAATACTAATGGCATATGCTGGCTTTTGTGAGCTTGCCATGAGTTATCACTGTCTGGTAGCGACTGCTGCACTTGCTGGCAACAAGCACTGGAACAGGGGACTGCCGTGGGTTGTGAGTAGCAGTATTTCACTGTGAGACCTCTGCTACCCTTGTTTCTGTAGCTAAACCTGCACCTCTGCACCTTGGCTCTCAGCCTAACTTTTCTTGTTCCCTGAGCTCTAGCAGAGGGCAGTTGCGTTTCTTGGCTTCTCGGTCTCTTCTGCATTTCTGCAGAACAGTGTGAACAACCTCCCACCTGTTGGGAGGAACAATAGAAGAAAAAGCCTTACTCGGCTTCTATTTGCTCACCCCCTGCTTAAATCCTGAAGAAAGTTGTTGCTTTCAATAACAACCATCTCCTGAAAGCAAACAGGCTTTCTGGGACCTGCAGATTGGAAAAATCCTGTGTGGTATTGTAGACTTGTTACAATTTTTTGCAATAACAATTGGATTTAGATGCTGGGAATCAATATGACTTTAGCATTTTGTTCTCAATGAAGTGTACAGAGGGATCTGTGTGTGTGTATGCATGAGATTTGCTGTTGTGGGTCTTTGTGGAAAATGTCAGGATAGATAGTTTGGGGAAGTGAATGGGTATGCTGTATTGTCAGAAATCTCCTGCAGAAGTGCTTTTTTTTTGCATCAGAATTTCAAAGCAGAACACCTGTTTCAGTACAGAATATGTCTATTAATAGTAGAAGAAAGGGCAGGATAGGCTATCTGAATTGAAATACAAACCTTTAAAAAGGTGCTCACTAAGGGCATGGGGATTACTGAAAAGAAATCAGTTAGGAGCAGATAAAGGCAAAAAGCGAACCAAGAAAGCAGGAAGATTAATATTTTTAGAAGTGTATCTGTGAATCTGTTATTTACTCTTTATTTTAAAGTAGGTCTTGCTTGTGTGAAAGATACTTGCAGTTCTCTCATGTCTTGTGTAGGTGTAAGAAACCTACCTGGGGCTTTTGTATCGAGCTGCAACATTTGTAACTCCAGCTTGTAGCTGGACTAAACTAAAAGTCTAACTCAGAAACAACTTATTTTAGAAGTGCTTTGCTCACCTGCATTTTAGAGTAAAGACAACATTGTTGCTCAGATTTGCAAATTCATGCACCGTGAAAGTCCATCTGCAATTTTTCAGGCACATTTTTCTAAGAACAGGCACATAGGAAATGACTATCCTGTATTTCAGTTTTACATTTACCTCAGATTCTTAAGAAGTTTTTATTGAACTTCTTCAAAATGCCTGTAAAGGAAAAAGGAAGCTTAGTAGCACCCTTCAGTGTTAGCTCTCCTGGCCTGTAGGTGCTGCACGGCTGGTGAGCTCCTGGTAAAAGGTGTGGTGTCATCTGCCTCCCTTTGGTAGGTATACACAGCCACTGGCATATCAAGTTCCCAGGGAAAAACATTGTCCATGTGGTGTTAACAGCACTGTGTGTGTTGCAGGCTTTCTTCAATGCTGGTTAAAAAAACAAACAAAAAACACAGAAAAAGTGAATGTTTCTGAACTTTACTCCAGTAGTTAATTAACAGGAATACTTGTACTTTCAGGGAGTTTGAGGCTTCAGAGGTTTACTTAATCATCTGCTTTGATTTGTGTCACATCTTCATGTTTTTCTGAGTTGTTCCTGAATTGAACCTCATAACTACCCTTGAAATGTGTCTTTGGGAATGGTGTCCATTAAGTATCATGGAGGTGAAGAACTACTGTGTTTGGAAAAGCTTTGGTGTCCTGCCTCCTGTTCTTCCCATCAGCTTCATCAAGGCTGAGCTGTTGGTTCCATCTGTGCTTTTTAGTGAGGTTAATGAGTCTTCTGGATCCTCTGCTTTCTCCTCATGAAGGCTGTACGGGCATCTTTTAGTTTATTTTGATAAACTAAACTAGGCTCTCAGGCTCTGAGATGCTGGAAATCTAATGTGCTGGATTACTGTGATGGACTGGTCTAAACACCGTTTCATGCTTCAAATTTGCACAGATATTTCTGATAGCTTAATTTGGAACTTTTTTTCTTTCATTCAGTACTGTCAGTTATCTTCAGTGAGTTTACTATTGTGTGCTCTGGCTAATTTGGCAGAAATACAGTAGCACACCTGTGCCTCCTCTTTCAGGTCTGATTTGTACTGCTGGGTTGTCCAGTAGCACTTGATTTGGTGCTAATAATTGTGCAGGGGATATTTTGAACAAAGTCCTGCTTAGCACATGTTGGTGAAGTGAAATTTCCCATTGATGAGTATTTTTGAGGTCAGTAAGTCACTTTGGAAATCCTGATGTATACTTTAATTATTTTATAACCATTTTTAAATAACGTTTGGTGTGTATTATTAAATCAAAAAGTCATATGGGTGCCTTATACACATCCCACACTTTGTGGTTATCTTTATTACAAATAGTCCTTGGCTGAAAGATGAATATTTGCTTATCTGCCACAACTTGTTCTTTATAAAACCAGGCTGAATGACCTGTTTTATGTTTCTGTCCTTTATACAGTAAATTAGTTTGTTTGCAGTATTGCCCTTGGATTGATACCAAACTATGATAACCACCCATGTCTTGCTTGCCGTTAAATATTATACAGCAGCTCTACTTTTTTTATCAGTTACTTTATTGATGTTCCTGTATTTAATAATAGTGGAATGTCTTCAGTCAGTAGGAATACTCAAATATTGCTCTGAATTACTTTGGGGATGGAAGTGAAATAAGAATTGAGGTTGTAGAGCACATTTGGGAATTTTTAATAATGCAAAGTTCTTGGTGTTTCTGTGGGCTTGCTGTTCTGCATAGAAAGTAATTTTGCTTTTCTCTTAAGTGAACTTTCTCATTGAGGTTCTGTCTTGAATTCTGTGTTGGAACTGGTTTGTAGTCAACTTTTATTTTAAGAATGCTTTTTATTGGTGGGTTTGAACATTTACTGAGACTAATGGCCATTCTTTTTTAGTCTATCTCTAGTGACTTTAAAGTGTTTTGAAGGAGAGAGTTGTTTTAGTTTTTACTCCATTGTACACCTAACAACAGGTTTACTTTCATTGAAGGGAAAAAATATTAATCTATACTCTTGCTATATATATGCCAGACATTTTTAACATTCTTTTTAAACACTTGCCCAAATGACTGTTCCCAGTACCAACAGTTTTGCATCATTCTCATCTCTTGGTTTAGGTGGTAGAGTAAAACATTAGATTTTTAGAGATTCTAGTGCTGTTGCTAATCCCATTATTGGAAAACTAGTATAGACAAGATTTAGAATAATTTTCAAATCCTGGAAGTTATGTACTTTGCTTTAGTTGCGGTTTTGACTTCAGTGGAGTTTGAATTTTAATGCTGATTTCAAAGCATGAAGAAAAATTGTTTTACTTTTGGAAACTGTTTATTTTCCAGAGTAGTTGTGTGGTCATCTGTGGTTTTCTTGCACTTGTTAATTTTGTTTACTAATTTCCTCCTCCTGCTGATACTGACTTTAGTTAATATTGAAGCTGTTATTTTCCAAGTTCTTAGTTTCAAATGCTGGTGTACACAGGGTGTATTTTCAGCTATGGACTGATGTGCTAAAGCTCCTTGTAGTAATTGAGCAAATAATACTGATTGCTGTGGTGAGCAAGCTTATGCATCTGCTGGAGACTTCAGCCAAAGATTTTGGTTTCACACTGCACCTCGTAAGGTGTGCTTGGGTAAGATTCCAGGTGGGGACTGGAAAAATAGGAAGCCATTGAAATGGTGACTCTACAGCAGCAGAGACTGATCAGGTACCTGGGCTTACAGGGTGCTGCAGGAGAATGGAATGCAGACCTTGAAATGTGATTGAAATGAAGAAACAAGACAGTGCTCTCCTTCACAGGATTGAAAATTGTCAGCACTAGACATCTGATGTATTTCAGCATAGCCTGGTAAAAACAGTGAGAGAAACAGTTGCTTTGCTTTGCTGCTCTTTTTTGGGCCACGGGGTAGGAGGAAGTTGCTGAATTTAGCAGGAGAACAAAAGGTGAGTCTTTTATGTCTTAAAGAAAACAAACAAACAAACAAATGAAAACCACAAAATAAAGGAGGAGAATAGGGACAAAATGTACAAATTGAATTATGGAAAGGATTTGGGATCTAAACAGAATAAATGGAAAAGAGACAAAAACATGCTGTAGAAGAGAGGCAAAAAATACAGTATAAAGCAAGCTCCCGTGGATCTATAACAGAAGACGTTCCTGTGATGTCTTGCTTCCAGTGCAGCATCCCGGGGATGTGCAAAAGGGAACGTCTCAAGTTCCTCTTCTTCAGTGAAGTCCTTCTGTCTGACTGAAGAGGCATCTTAGCTTTAATTAGGTGAACTGTTATTGTCCCATTTCAATGTACGAGATGGAGAACAAAGTAAAAACAAAGGCAAGATGTTTGAGGTGAAGTATTGCACAGGAAAATGCAAAGCACAAATTACAGATGTGCAGGTTTCACATCTCTCTGTGGGGTGCAAGGGTTACTTGATAAAAGCTGAAGCAAAGCAATTTTGAATCCTGGCACTTGAGTTGTAATTATTTCAACTTTTCAGTTAAAATACAGGCATTGTCGGCTAATTATTGCCTATGGGGACTATCCTTTCAACTCCTGAGAGGCCTCCATCCCTTCATGTATTCCTTTGCAGCAATTTTTTTTCCTGGAAAAGAAAGTATTCCCTAGCTCATTGACTGATACTCTAACTGATGGAGAAAGTCTTCAGATAAGACCTTTTCTTCCTCTCTTAACTCTGGATTTGACTTAATTTGAAATTTCATTTTCTGCATGTTGATATTACACACAATCTGGTTTCAGTCTGGGGTGGGCTTAGTGAGGTAGATGGGCAACTCTTCGTCCCTGCTGTAGATTGAGATGGCCTAGCAGTGTTTCAGCTGCCTGTAAAGCTTTCTTTAAAGTGCCTAAAAATGTGGTATTTCAGCTTATTACTGTAAAGCTAAGATCTTTTTAGTTCCTTTGTTGTTGGTGGTGCTAATCATATTTAGAACTCCTACCACATATGGAAGTAATTCCCACAATGATAGCTGGTCCTCAGTGAAAGTATAAAAGTTTCTAACAAGTCGGACATGATAAAACCCAGCAGTGTTTAGTGGGCCATAGCGTAGTTACGCTTCTTTCTGTGCCTTACAGTTTAATTTCTACTTTCAACAGAGGTGGTGGGATTTCCACTTTGTTTCACTTCACTTTCGAATAAACAGCAAAAGCTACTATTATGAATTTTGCAAAACGAAGGGTTTTAATCACCACTTTCACAAGAGCTTTAAAGAATATGTGTTTTCCCCACATGTGTTGAAAAGAAATTTTTTCCTGGCTGATGTTGGTAGGAATTGATTCATTTGGCAAAAACCCTGTCCTGACAGGCCCTGAAATCCTGGTTAGGCCAAGAGGAAGGACACCTCTGAAGTCCTTTTCAGGGAGTAAATTTAACCTGAGATGTAGATCTGCAAAAAATTCCTTTTCTCTGAATGTTGAGACGTGACTGGAAGGTCCTTGCTCTGTGGGTGGAAAGGTGGGTAGGCATTTCCTAAAAATTTCCCTATTTCTTCAGTTCTCTTTGAGGTGAATATTCAAGGATAATTGCATTCTCCCCACATCCTGCAAACCTCTGTTTGTAGGGGTCAGAGATAGAGAATACAAAGTAAAGGTTGTGTATTTTCATACACTAAATTGATAGACTTGTTTCTTGTCTTGAAAGCCTGTAAGGAGATTGCTCTTTGGAATATTGTGGTATGTACTGTAAGATGTCCAAACTATAGAGAAGGAAAAACAAAATATTACTCTGCTCACTGACTCCTAGGAGGGGTAAGAAGAAACATTTGTTTGCTCTTATGGAGCTCAAGCTGATGTGTTGTAACAGTGGGATGGACAGTGTTGTGTTCACTTTGTGAATGTGTTGATTTGCTTTAGGACAAGGTATGATTATAATTAGTAACAACTATCGTGTCCAGCGCTTGTGGATCACTGTGGAAGTGTTTCTCTGGAAATTCAATGTGCGTAAGATGAAATTGGGGGGGATTTAAAACCTCTTAAGAGGTTATTTATATTGAGTGACTATGGGCAACTAGCTAGTGGGAAAAACTTTGCCATCCCTCCCTAATGATTACCTAAGTTGTATTTACATTAATCATATAAAACAAACAAACAAAAGCAACAACAACCCCATTTGCTGCCCTTCCCACCCCCACCCTCCAAAAAAAAAAAACAAACCAAAAAAAAGGCTTAAAGAAAGTGAATCAAGAAATTACATGGTGAACATCTAGAGTTTGGAAACCCCATAACTATTTTGATCTGGTAGTCCTTGCCCCTGGTTTTAATAACTTTAAAGGAGGGTGGGTTGATTGATGCAGATAGACCAGAAGTTATACACGCCTGAAAGAAGGATCTACGAGTGCTGAAGGCCACTTTGATCTAGAAGAGAAGGCTGTTTGTGCTCAGGACCCAGTCTAGAAGTGAGGAACCTTGCAGTTTTCTGCCTGGGAACAGGCTGATATCTGTGGCATGGTGGTGGCACTGCATGTAGTTCTGTGACACCTTCTGTCAGGAAAAATGGGGTATAACAGAATTATACTTTGATTCTTACTATGTACTCTGATGAAGAAAAGCATATTTCATATTTACATAGTTGCAATGATTTACCTGGGCTACATATAGTGAAGTAGGATGTTCATGAAGGTTATTTGGGAGGGTGGCTGTTAAATCTCTTTTCACTGCTTTTGTTTGTGCTCTTTTATATTTGAATAGAGAAACAGTTGTGGCAGCAAAGCTGCTTATGACAATAGTTTGCTGTGGTTTTGTTTTGAGCAGAGGTTTGTTATTTTAGAACACAGCTTGGTGCCTGTTAGCACCAACGTACATACCTGTGAGTAGAAGCTGTGTATTAAATTAGTCACCTAATAGTCTACTCTTCTGCCGAATCTTTTGCTTTTCCTGCTCTGAAACTTTGGGAGTGTGCAGTTTTGAGTTTGCTTATTGGTCAGCCCACCAAAGTGGACTAGTTAATGTGTGGTTGCCTTAAAGATAAATCTTGATTTATTAGCGGGCAGAAAAACAGGCTAAAAAATTATTTAAAGTATGTTAATTTAAGAAGTGTTTATGCATTAGACATCTGATACCACAGAATAATTTGGACTTCAGTAATAGTTTCTTGTAGGTTGTAGTAGTGAATGGTGGTGGTGCTGAGATTTAAGCTATTGTTGATAATTGGCTTCTAAGTAGCATAACACAACCAGATTACATTGAAATTGACTGTTGTAGATGCAGGTCAAGCAAAACCACAGCATTTAAAAAGAATGGTTATTCTAATGGTCACACAGGGTATGGAAAATAATTCATATCCCCCCCCCCCCCCCGACAAAACAGTATATGCTACAACAGTAGCTGTGATATCTATAAGCAATATGATATTTTTTCTATCTTTTATGTCCAGAAATGTGCACATTTGAAAATTCAGACAAACTGAATCTACCAATCTAGTTATGTGTTTGTGTGGATCCTTGTGATGGTTTTCAGCGGCTTTTATATTGAGGCTGAACAAAAGCAAAACCTGTTTCACGTGCTTCTATTTTCCATTTATTTTACACTATTGATTAACTAGTAAATTATTTCCACTACAAAAAAATCCAACAATGTCACTGGAAGCCAAAGAGTAAAGCAAAAACTTCTTTCAAGTAGTCATCAGTAAAGGATTAATAGAGAGAGGTATTTCAAAGTTTGATATGACAGTGTAGTTGTATTTTCCGAATTGGCTGCCTTTGTCAATGTAAACCTTCAGTTGGGTATAAACTGTCCAAAATGGGGAAGACCCTGGCAAAGCAGGTCTTGTATTTTCTGCAAGAGAGGTGTTGCCAAACCTTTGTGCTGGGAGTGGTCACCTGCCTGTACTGGGCTGAGAGTGGAGTTGTCTAACACAGCCCCATTCCTAATGCCTTCCTGGCTGTGTTTGCATGTGCAGTCATTACAGTCCCGAGGAACATTTAATGTGTATTTTGAAGCAAATATTTTGCTTGTATGCAGTGAATTTGAGGACTTAGGAGCGATGGGCTTGTTGCTTATATGTGCTATACTCATTTTACATTCACATTGGAAATCCACTGCTACTGAAAATGCAGCAAGTGTAGGAAATGTGTCCTGCATGTGCAGCAATGAGACACAGAAACAGCCACATGAAAGAGAGCCATTTGGAAAGGTCTGTGGGCTAGATTTAATTTTCCTGCAGGGTCATTCCTGCCTTGGTCTGTAATTTCTGTTGGCTCTTGTTACAGCTCTTGTGTGCTGGAAGCAGAAACTCCAGCCCTGATAACTGTCCGTGAGCTTGTTCTACATGATGATGTTTAAGGAATGAAAAATAAGTGCTATAAAGCATGTGACTGATGAACAGTCAGGTTCTTAAGGTTGCATGTTGAGCATTTGAAATAGGAAATGTTGAATGTGTGCAAGTACAACCTTTCTGGTGCTTTATTACCACATAGTCTTTAGTTACATTAAGACTTGCACAGCACTGTGTGGTCGTGGTTAAACTGCTAAGTAAAAGTTCTTTGAGGTTTCATACATTTTTCTAGACCCTATCTTGACATTTTCTCTGTCACAGAAAATGTGGCTTTTTCACATGCTGCATTTCTATTAACTACTTAATGCTGGTATTCTGATATAATAAAAACCCTTGAAAAGAGAACACTATTTTTTCTTCTGTTTTGAAGAAAGCTGTTTAAATTGTTTTTAAATTATGTAAGCAAATTCAGGAATTGATTGTATTAAATATGAATTTCATATAACTTGTTACACTTTGTTTGTAATTAACCAAATGCATTAGTTTTATAAATATTTATGTTTGTCAAATGAGCCTGTTCTCGTAACTTGCTTATTTCATTTTCACCACGTGCTTGATTCAGTTGTGCAAGATCTTGTGTGATCAGTTGTGTTGATCTTGCAGGTCAACATCAAAAAGCAGAGAGAGAAACTATTTGAAGTGTGTACAAATCTGGAGTGAAATGGAATTACGTTCCATCAAAAAATTAACTTCATTTTTGGTGCTGAGAGATTATTTAGCATGTATGAATACTACTGACTTATGAGGGTTCTGAGGGCTTTTTTGAAGCTCTATCCCCAAACCACAAGATGTGTGCACCCATGTCTTGGAGGTTACTGAGTTTTTGAGAGGTCTCACAAGGCTGCATGAGCGATGTTGCGCTGAAAACATTTGACTGTGGTTAAAACTGACTTGGGAGGAAAATGTATGTCTTGTGTTGTTTGAGTCAGCTCATTTCTCCAGTCAGTCTGCATCCATTGCAGATCCATATGGCAATAGGCTGGATCACTTGGTAGGCATCCAGGGAAAAACCTCTGTGACTGGAGTTGCTGGTACAAGTGTTGTGACAGAGGCATTTGGACTTGTCTGGCCAAAACCTAATTGACCTTTTAAAAAGGAGGGGAGTGGGGGGATAAAGGGGAGAGAGAATTTCCAACTATACATGGAGATTAAAAGGAGCTGTATTTAAACACTTTAAATGGTTGCTTATCATAAAGTTATTCCTTTATTATTATAATAAAACCCAGATATCTTTCTTTTCGCCTGTTGCAGCAGAACTCATCTACTGAATAGTTGAAACGTAATAGGGCTTGTGTTTTTCTGCATGCAGCTTTAATGTTACACAGTAGGTAACATTCAGAGTAGTTGAAGTTATCCGCTACAAGGATGAGGTTCAGTAGTGAATTTCTTTCTCCCTCAGTGTGTTTTGAAAATAACTTTTGGTAACCTTGTAAGTTTGGTGTGGGTTTTTTGGGAGAGTTGTTTGTTTGTTTGTTGGTTTTGTTTTTTTTTTTAAAGCCAGGCAACCAAAAAACTCTTTTAGTCCTCATGTACCAGGTTTGTTATTTAAAAAAAAAAAAAAAAAAAGAAGTTGGGGTTCTGAAGGAAACATTCCAAGGTATTGCTGCTTGTTTGGGGCTTCTAGGAGATACTGTGTGCCCAAAGATAACAGTTCTGTTAACTCATCTTAAAGAAGAGAAAAGGGAAAAAAAAGATTAAAAGTAAAAAATGAGAAAGAAAAAAGGTACTTTTATGTCAGAACTGAGGAAGTGACCCTGGGGATTTACCATAGATTAAACAGGAAATCACACTACAAATTAACCCCAGAGCTTGAATTCCAGCTCACCACTTGAACTGGAAGAGCATTCACTCTTTTCTCTGCACGCAGGCCACCCAGCTGAATGAAGTACCTTTACTTGCAGGGGAGGGCTGTGCCCACATCCTTACTGGGGCTTGGGTGGAACTTCCTTGTCCTCCAGCCCTTCCAGCCAGGAATGTGCTGCTGGGTGGTTGCTGCAGTTGGCAGTAGCGTGAGCAGCTCTTCTCTGAGTTGCCGTTGACTTCTGGTCTTGCAATGGTTCGTGTTTGTCCTTGTCTGAAATGCACATTGCATGCAATGTGGTCGTTTCAGATGCAGCTGGAAGGTTGGTAGGAAAAAACAGCTTCACTGTAAAAGTTTCTGCTGTAAGGGAACAGTATCAGCTCACTGGAATGTTTATTGCATTTGTAGATCAGTAGTTTTCCATATCATTTTAACCTGGTGCCAGAAAGTAAGGCCAGAGCAGTCACTTGAGTTAGTACTGCTAGAAAGGGAGAGTGTACTTTAGGAGAACTGGGAAACTTAGATTTTATTTTATGCAAGAATTGTATACTTTCAAATCTTGTCACTGTAACGCTCTGCAATTCTCACGCTTTTTACCTCATCATATTTAGTAGGACTTTCGGGAAGGCTTCTTTCTGGAGTGACAGCTTTAGTTCAGTGTAACATGTGCAGCCACTGAGATCATCTCTTCCCGAAGCTGCCCCAGCCCTTCAGTCTATATTCAGTAACAAAGATTGAGTTTCTTGTGTTGCATTAAACTGCTCTTCAGCTCCATCTACAGGGTTATCCGTAGGGTCCTGTCAACGGGAACTGCTCTGTAGAGAGGTGAGGGAATGGTAAAGAGGTTGTGGTGGTTCTTACCTTAAAGATGAAGGACTTTGCAGAGTGGATTAGGTCAAAACAGTGCTTGGTAGGCTGTTTGCAGTAAGATCCCCTGAAACCTTGTGTCACCCCTACCCTCGATGCGACTGGAGGTGATGCTTTGTCAACCTGCAAGCTGGGTGTGCTTGGCATCTGGCTCTCAGGTGATCCAGTGTAGGTGCCTGGAGCAGTTTGTGAAACACTTTTTACTGAAGTTGTGTCTGAAATGAGACCTGAAATTAAAATGCAAGAACACGTTCATGTCAGGTCACTGTTAATGTGCTGATATGGACTAAGGAGTAGGTATTAATTGGATTGTTGAACTTGCTTACTGTGCAGTATCAGAAAGATTTGTGGGGCTTCTAGAAGAAATAACTGGGAAGGAGAAGAGAGAGCTGGAATTGAAAAAATTCTCTTATAGTTTAGATTTTTGACTGCGTTCAAGCTGATGCCTAATTGGAAGTCCTGGATTTTGCTTGCTTCATAAAATAGTGCCACTGGAGCAGTGAGGGGGGGTGAGGTGCAGTGATACAGAAAGTCACTGACTAAAGTTTAGGAGAAATGTTTCTTAGTTCTTTTAAAATCAGCTAATTGTATTTTAAGCTCGTAAAGACAGGTTTTTACAGCACTTTATGCATCAGCCCTACTAATGATGAGGATTTCACGTGCTGCTGCAATAGAAATAATAGGATTTTTCTTCCTAAGAAATATGAGAGGTTTTGTGTATTTTATGTGCATGAGGTGCTTCGTCCCTCCCTTATTCTTGATTTCTTGCAAAGTAATCCTTGCCATTTATGGTCTTGACCACAAGAATTACAGATTGTCTTTAGTGGATGGGTCTGTGAAATGCTCTGAGTTAGCTATATATGGAGTTCTGAGGCAGAGGAGACAGGTGGATGTGCCTGTTATGCAGAAAATCTGTGATGGAAGTAGATTGCTTGTTTCAGGTTTCTAGAGGTTGACTGGATTCAGGTTTGATTCCAGTTTGATAGAGGTGTTAGCATTTTGTATCGCTCAGTGCCTTAGCAATTTATTTTGTAATATGGTACACAGAACAGAGTAAATTACTGTTAGTATTTTTAGATGTTGAATGTGATATGGATAATAGAGGAAAACCAACAATTCTGTACCCTCATAGCAGACCTAGTGTCTCTGGTTTCCATATTCTTTTTCACTCTTTTTGCTGATCATATCAAGCCTCTTTTCAAATACAGATATGTAATAAAAAGACAGGTTATCCTTTTGGAAAAACAAAGTATTCACATCCAGAAAAATCTGTTTGATTATGGGCTAAATGAGTAACAATTTCAAGATTTTAGGCAATATTAAGGTAAACGGGAATTATTTTATTACTTGAGATAATTGAATTGTCTCCATGTAATGAGTGACAAGATGTAGGGCAAGTTTTAGAATGAAATTTAGAAGAACTATGGTAATGAATCACATGCTTTTGTACCCAGTCTTAATTAACTATATGATGTTTTTTAACCAAAAGATTTGTGGCGAGATTGCTGACCCTTTGGTAATTAAATGGACATTCATTATATGAAATATGATGTGTGGGTATCTGGAGCTTCCAGTTCATACTTAGATGTGTAGGATTCCTGTTGTTCAGCTGAGGAATACATTCCTGTAAATGGAGGCAGGTGCAGTCACACTCAGCTTTTCCTTTGAGCCACCCGCCTGCCAGCCGGGCTCCTGCCCCTCCTGGGCACAGGGGTTGGGGCAGGGCAGTTTAAACAGGGCTAAACTGTGGCTGTTGGTCCTTGACTGCTGCGTGCCAGCACTCTGCCTGGGTGGTATGCCTGTTTGGGAAGCAGATCCAGGAAAGAAAAATGGGAGGATGAAGGGAAGGGATTAGTTTTTGGGTGTCTCCTCCTGGCTGTGCTGGCCCCATGCCTGGCTGTGCGAGCACCCGTGCGGGCACAAAGAAGGGGCAGTGCTGTTTGGCCAGGAGTGGGCTGGGATCTTGGCAGCCTGTTTGTGTTGGCCTTAACACTCATCATTAATGTAACACCAGGATCTGGCTATGAAGTGCTGTGCAGGCTCAGTGCTGTAATAATGTGATTTCAGAGCTTTTGATTGGTGCAAAGCATGAGCAGAACAAATCTGTGCAAGTTACAGATGAATAGAAATCAAAGCAGAAACACCCTCATTCTTTTGTTTTTTTTAGAACCAAGTGCTTTCTAATTTAATTTGAGATAAGCTTGGTCTATGTTACTGCCTTTTATTATCTGAACCACTGAAAAACAGACACAAGTAGAAATCCTGTGTGGTGAAGGCAGTGGAGGAGTTGATTTTGGAACAGCAAGCATGAATTTTAACGATTTGAGGACAATGAGCCCTTGCAATTTGACTTGTTTACTCTGTTCCAAAATGTCTCTGAAGACATAAGATTGTTAGTAGCTCTAAGTAAAGCCACATTCAGAAACTGATAGATGATGTTATTCAGATCAGTTAGATATCTGGAGTTTTAATCCTCAAAGATGTTAGCTGACAAGTTAGCATTCCTTCAGAGCTCTTGGGCAACTCTATATTTTCTTGATGTGACAGGTAATAATACCAATGCTGAACATGCTGGAGTAGCAGTTCCTTGCTATAGAGATGCAAAATGTCAGAGGAGGTGTTGTGCAGGACTGAAGCTACTAAGCTAATAAACTCTACCTGACCCTGCTTTTTGTTTTTCCTCTTCTCTTCCTCTTCTCTTCCTCTTCTCTTCCTCTTCTCTTC